GGAAAATTTGTAATGTAATGATGATGATACATAGATCACAACCTGAAGCCATTCATCTGTTGAAGCATCGGTTGTCCTAGTTCCAACTTCCACCTTTGGAGTCCTCTTAGTTTTCTATGAAAAAGAATAACAATGCAAATACATTAGATTCATCCAGGAAATTAAAGGATATGCAATCACACTGCTTTTTTCCCTTCTTTTTTTATTTTATTTTTATTATTATTATTATTATTGTCTGCATGCAAATGTGCATGCCGCAGTTGGACAATGAAGACAGTTTTTTTTTTTCTTTTTTTAATTTTTTCATTTTGTAGATTACCTTGGAAATGCGTTGTACTTGACCATGAAGCCATAAACCAAGGAATACCAGGAATGCAATCCCCAAGGTAACAAGGAACACGGACTCCATGCTGAGAAAACCACCAGATTCAACAACCTCAATGGTGCCATTATAGAAGGTACTCTGGTATGGGTTTTGATCAATCTCATAAACAATGGTGCCCACAAGATCAAAAGTTCCAGGCTGCATTGAAGATATAGATGTGTAAGCTTAACTCCAAACAGATTCACATCCATCCATGGGACATAAAATTCCAGAAATTATCATTTACCTGCAAATACCTGCTCACGGTAAATATGTAAGGAAAAGTAGCCTGTGCCAAAGGAGGTACGGAAGCATTGTTGAAGACCTGCAATCAAAACAAAAAAAGGAGGGTAAAAAACTACATTTACTGTTGCATAGATTTGTGAGGTATTTAGTTTGTTGACTAAAAACTCAAGTAACTATCCATACTTTTGATGAAAGACTTTTTAAAACACCCCACAAACAACATTCTGAAAATTAAAAAAAAGAAAAAAGAAAAAGAAAAAAAAGAACACAATTTAATGTCTTTTTAAATTTTTTCTCTATCAGCCAAAATGTGTCGATAATCTCTTTCAAGAAGCATACACTCAGAAAAAAAGAAAGTTATCAGATAAAACAAATGGTTGAGCTGCTCATTTTACAAGGGACACACAAAAGAGATGGTAAGTGAGAAGAAAATCTATGGACAAACCTAATCGAAGCTATAAATTACCTGGGCTGTGAGATTTTGCACCAGCAGACTATGATCAATGGGAAGATGGGCGCTAGCTCTGACTGCAATAACATTAACAGGTGACTCGCCTGCATTCATTATTTCATCCAAATGAAAAAGTAAGCACATCATACAACTCTGTCTCGGTAAATATAAAGAGGGATTGAGGGCGAGTGCAAGCAACATAGAGTTCCACTTTCACAAAAAAGAAGTCCAAGGAAACGGTCAAAATTAAATCAATTACCAACATTTTTCATCCCAACAAGGAGTTCAGTCTCTTCTCCAGCAGCAACCACTGCAAGAAAGGCAAAATTACTGTTAAAAAAAGAAATGATAGATATCAAAGAGATACACGCAACCCTCCAAAAGCAACCAGGAATGCAGTTTGAATTAAAACATAGACCAATCAATTTTCACCTTTGGCACTGTTTTTGGGGAAAACACAGACTGTTTCAACTTCTTGAGCTAGGCTAAAACTCCCATCACCAAAATCCACAACATCCTCACCAACAATCCCAAGATCACCTCCTTCCTCAACCACCTCTTCTGCAACTTGGGCCTCTGACAATGCCAGACTCCTAGCGACTATCACATGCAAAGTAAAAAACTACAGTTAGTTGGACTAACATAGAATTCACATTATATGTAATCTTCAGACAGGATTATCGTGCTTTTACAAAAGACAACACGCATGCAGACATCATCTGAATTGACTTAAGAAATAGACTGATGTGAACGAACAAAGCATTGACTTTGATCATTCTGGTTGAATTAAAAGCCTGAAAAGAACTGATCTTTATACTAAAATTCTGAATTCATGATAAGTTATCTGTCACTAAATTTTGTTTTTCAATGCAAAGTAACGCACCATAAAGGAACATTTCGAAACCCCAAGAAAAGTACATAAAAAGTGAACATTTGGAACCCAAAAAAAAAAAAATCATATAATCGAATTGGATCTCCTTATGGAAGAACTCGAATTGAATCCCCTTTTTTTTCCAACAGATCAAAACGATCGAATTAAAACATGCAAGCAGTAATTACCTTACAGAAACATTACAGGACAAAGATGAGTATGTGAGATATAGAAGAGGGAGAACAAGAGAAAACCTTGGAGAAGAGGAGAGGCGAGAAGGAGGAGAAGGAGGAGAGGGAGGAACAAAATCCTCAAAGTTTTCATAGCTCAAAAGCTGAGTTTGGAATCCAACAGAACAACCTCAAGGGACTTTGGTTCTCGAATCTGAAATCAGGGGACTGCCTGTTGCGGGACTTCTGCCACAGGAAGAAAGGAAGGACGAAAGAGCGGCAGAGGAAATCTTCTATAATTGTATTGAACGTCGTCGTTTTAATTTTTGGTGTATTTTATGAAATTAAACGTTTTTTTTCACCTATACGAACAAATTATAATTTGACACGTTGCCTTGTGACTACTCACTGTAAAATGATATGCTGCCACGTGGAATTAAAAAGTATCTTTATGATGCAATTTGTCAGATAAGGCATGTGCTGAAGGTTTATCGGTTTATCTTGCTTAAAATCTAACAATAAATTTGGTACATTTTTCCCTATTCTGGCCAAACAGAAAAAAAAAAAAAAA